CTCCAAAGCCAGTAAAGCAAACAGCTTGTGAGGCCTTGGGTTTTTTTTTAAGTTAGAACAATAGAAGCAGTCTGAATGGGTGGAGTCAAGCTCCCAGAGAACCAAGAATTTTAGCTGTAGAATCACAGAATCCCTACAGTGCGGAAACAGGCCATTCGGCCCAATAAGTCCATACTGCCCCTCCAAAAAGCATCCCACCCAGTCCCTTTCCCTATGTCTAACCCACCTAACCTAAATATCCCTGGATGCTATGGGCAATTTGGCATGGACAATCCATCTACCTTGTACATCTTTGGACTGTAGGCGGAAACCAGAACACCCGGAGAAAACCCATGCAGGCATGGAGAGAATGTGCAAACTCCACACAGACAGTCACCTGAGGATGGAATCAAACCCAGGTCCCTGGTGCTGTGAGGCAGTAGTGCCAACCATTGAGCCACCATGCCACCCAGTTTTTCATTTGTTGCTCCTGGGGTCTTGAAGCTGGATGTGGAGGCTGTTTTTCTTTTGTCTGTTACAGCTAAAAGCTGGGGGTCTCTTCCTGCTGCTAGAATTGCATGTGACACAATCTATTTTAGTGAATTTGCCTTTGCCTTGGGTATGTTTATGGGATGCTGCTATTTTGGAACGGTTAATTAATAGCAGTTCATAGATCATAGGTCATAGAATCCCTACAGTGTGGAAACAGGCCCTTCGGCCCAACAAGACCACACCAACACTCAGAACATCTCACCCAGACCCATCCTCCGATAACCCACCTAATCTACGCATTCCTGAACACTACAGGCAATTTAGCATGGCCAAACCACCTAGCCTGCACATCTTTGGACTGTGGGAGGAAACCAACGCAGATACGAGGAGAAAGTGCAAACTCCACACAGACAGTGGCCTGAGGGCAGAATTGAACCCAGGTTCCTGGTGCTGTGAGGCAGCAGTGCTAACCACTGTGCCACCATGCCCCCAGTTAATATATATATACATTTATATATCTTACTATATTAAGCATTTCAATAGAGTTACAGTTAAGCCAATTCTTTTCTCTCTATTTTATCTGTATTTTAACTATAGTGTATGAATAAAGTGGGTTTTGTTTCAAGACTGAGATAACAAGGTGTAGAGCTGGATGAACACAGCAGGCCAAGCAGAATCAGAGGAGCAGGAAAGCTGACGTTTCGGGCCTCGACCCTTCTTCAGAAATCCAGAAAATTGTTTCAAGACTGGTAGTTTGACCAATTGAAGTGCAACTGGAACACAGTACCTGGCACTTGCCTTTGAAAATAAGAAAAAGTTAAGGCCTAGGCTATCTTCATATATTTTGAGGGGGGGTTGGTCTGGTCCACAACACATGCAAATATTGGAAATGTAGGAAGTAAAGTTGTATTGGAGTTTGTGCAGTAAAGCAGTTTCCCTGTTCATTAAGTTTGAGGACGTTTTCCACTCTTTCAGCAGCAGTCTACCATGAAACTCTTTTAGCCTGCTCCTACAACATCATAACTTTTCTTGAACTTTAGGTTTGTCACAATTCAAAACACTGTCTATAATTTCTTCTCTATTTAATGTCATTTTAACAGGATCATCCTTATCCACACCTAGCCATCCATCAAGCTCATATCTGACAATGTTTCTCATTGGATTTACAACTCTAACTCAGTCAAGCAAATCCATGACTCTTCAAGGACAGTTTTGCCAGTTGCATGAAAATTCCAGATGCTTGGGTACCAGATAACCAGGAGTTTACTTGACTGATGTCAACATTCTGAAGGAATTGTAAAAGAACAATCTGCAATCAGTCTCCCGAACAGCTGAATTAATAACCATTTAACCAACATTTCTGATTTATCAGCTCCACCCAATCTTGGAATGTGCTGGATAAAATGGGTTTTACCATAGTGCCTTTCACTGCCTTATCCAAGGCATGTTACAGATTGTGGAGTGTAGTCATTCTTGTAATATGGTAACAGCAAACAATAATGACCTGATTAATTCATAGGATCACAGAATGTTTACAGGACAGGATGAGGCTACTCAGCCCATGTGCTGGTTCTCTGAAAACGCAAATCACCTTATTGCCAATCCCCTGGCTTTTCTTTATGGCTTGACAAATCTTTTCAGTTAACAACAACTTTTGAATGCCCCGAATGAGTTTCCACCACATTCTAGATCCTCACCACTTGCTTTTCCTCATGTCATTGTTGCTTCTTTTGTCATTGCACTTCAATGGGTGTTCTCAAGCTGTACACCAAAGGGAACAGTTTATTCCTCTCTGTTCTGTCCACAACCCTCATGATTCTGAACACCCCAACCAAATTTCCTCTCAAGCTTCTCTTCCCCAACGAGAACAGTCACAGCTTCTCCAATTTGTCTTTACAACTGAAGTTCTTCATCCCTGGAAATACTCTCAGGAATCCTTTCTGTACCCTCCCCAGTATCTTCACTTCCTCCTAAAGTGAAATTCCCAGCCAATGTATTTTATTTGTGATGTTGATTTGGAGATCAATTTTGACCAGGAGATCAGACATCACTCCATTGCTCACCTTTAACAGAGTGCCAGGAGATCAATTACATTCCACTGAGAGAGCAGAGACACATCTGAGAAAAAGTATATCCAATAATGCAGCACTGCTTCATACTGTGCTGGAGTATCAGCCTAGATTCTGTGCTCATGTTCTGGAGTTGGACTTAAACCCAGCACCTGCTGGCTCAGAGACAAGACTGCTACTCCCTGAGCCATGGCTGGCACTTCAATTTACAGTTGGTCTTAATTTTCATCAATTTTCATTAAATCATTCAATCTGACAGCACGCTGGGATGCCTGGTGTTCCATTTTACTTTTGCTGGTACTTTTAAAAAAATCTAGTTAATCCCACACCCCTGGATATTCTGCTTATATTTGCAATATTCACTTAGATTCAAAGAGTAATAGATTAATATAATGTAGAAAAGGCCCTTCAGCCCGCTGAATCTGCACCTACCTAATTACCACTAAAACAGAACTATGTCCAATTTCCTGCATTTGTCCTATATCCTTGGATGGTTTGATATTTGAAGTACTCATCCAATTATTTTTTGAAGGTTCATAAGGTTTCCAGCTTCCACTACCTTCCCAGGCATTGCATTCCAGATTCCCACCACATGCTGAGTGAAAACAAAATTTTCCCAAATTCCCTGTGAATCTCCTGAAACTAAACCCTAAAACTATGCCCTCTCGTAATTGACCCCTCAGTCAAGGGGAATAGCTGCTCTCCATTCACCCTGTCCATACCCCTCATAATCTTACACACATCAACCATGTCCCTGCTCAGTCTTCTCTGCGCTAAAGAAAACAATCCAAGCCTATGTAGTCTCTCCTTATAGCTCATTTTCTCCATCCCAGGCAACATCCTGGTGAACTTCCATTATACCCTCTCTAGTGCTATCACATGCTTCCTATAGTGAGGTGACCAGAACTACATATAGTACTCCAGGTGTGGCCTGATTAATGCTCTGTACAACTCCAACATTACATCCATGCTCTTATACTCTATGTCACGACTGATGAAAACAAAGGACCCGTATTTCTTCTTAACTGTCCTATTCATGTGCTCTGCCGACTTCAGGGATCTGTGAATAATTACCCCAGATCCCTCTGTCCCTCTAAGCTACCCAGTGTCTTGTCATTTGTTAAATACTCCCTCATCTTGTTTCTTCTTCCAAAGTCCATCACCTCGCACTTATCAGAGTTAAATACCATAAGCCACTAGTCTGCCCATCTGCCCAACACATCTTTACTATTAACCAATCTTGGTGTCATCTGCAAATTAGCTTAACATTCACCCCACATTTTCATCTATATCATTTATTTGTATAACAAACAATAAGGGTCCCAGTACTGATCCTTGTGGCACACAATGGACATCAGCCTCCAGTCACTCAAACAGCTTTCTATCACTTCAGGTTCAGTTCTGAGGAAGGGTCCCCAGACCCAAAACATTAACTCTGTTTTTTTCTTCACAGATGCTGCCAGACCTGCTGAGCTTTTCTAGCAACTTTGTTTTTGAGCCTTCTACCACTACCTTTTGTGTGCCATTACTAAACCAGTTTCTGATCTATCTCATCAAGTTTCCCTTAATTCCATGCGCTTTAACCTTCTTAATCAGTTTTCCATGTGGGACCTTGTCAAAAGCTTTACTAAAATCCATACAACTACATCAACTGAACTTTCCACATCCACACACTTTATCACATTTTCACAAAATGTTAGGCATGACCTCCCTTTGCCAAAGCCATGCTGACTATCCCTAATTTTTCCACGCCTTTCCAAGTGGGTATTAATTTGCTCCTTCCGAACTTTCTCCAATAGTTTCCCTGTCACCAACATGAGACTCACTGGTCTGTAACTTCCTGTTGCATCTCTATCACTCCCCTCAAAAAGTAGAACCACATTAGCTGTCCTCCAGTCCTCTGGCACTTACCCCATGGCCAGAGAGGAATAAAAAAATTGTGTTAAGAGCCCCTGCAATTTCCTGCTTCACCTCCCATAGCAGCCTGGGATGCAACTCATCTGGGCCAGGGGATATGTCTGTTTATAAGCCCAACAGACCCTCCTTACCTCCCCATTCCCTATATCAAACTGCAATTCACTCACATGCCTTTTTCTGAATGCTGTACTTAAGTTCTCCTTTTCCAGAATAAAGACCGACGAAGAATATTCATTCAATATACTTCCAATGTCCTGCGGCTTCACACATAGGTTGCCCCCTTGGTCCCTAATAGGCCCTATTCTTTCCCTGGTTAACCTCTTCTCTTTAAAATGTATTTATAAAATATCTTAGGATTCTCCCTAATCCCATTTGCAAGTCTTCTTCTACAAGTCAACTTCTTCAACTATTTCTCTTTTCCATGATCCTCAGAAAAATTATACAAGACTTAAAATGGGTTGTCAATGACTTGGCTTTGGATATAAATATGATGATAACACCAGTATTTCTGAAGGTAATAACAGAATGATGTGAGATAAAAACCTTTTCACCCTGTATTCCTGGTTGGCCTGGTTCTCCTGTCGCCCCCTAATAAACAATAGAGGAGAAAGAAAGAAAGATCATTACTGATCATTATTTGATCATAATCAGAAACTGACAACCCAGTATAATAATGCATTGCATTTGTTAAACTCTGCCAAACCTCCTTAGAGTAGCACTGTCACGATAATTACAAAGTAGAAAATCCTTCCAATTTAAGGTTGTGAGAGAGGCTCAAGTGAGTGCATATATTTCACACAGAAGAGGAAAATAATAAACTGACATATTTTGAAAGAGTTACTTTCTTGAAGCAAGATTAACTCTTGGAAAACTTTCAATTACAAGCTCAGTACATTTAATAAAAGTCCTTGAGTATTGAAATCAAGACTCATTATATAAATCTGAAAAGATGAGAAATGCTGCCTGTGATGGGTATTTCAGCTGGATAAGCTTGGGTTGTGTTCTTTGGAGCAGAGAAGGTTGAAGGGGATCTGATAGGAGCATATAAGATTATGAGGCGCACGGACTGGGTGAATAGAAAGCAGCTGTTTCCCTTAGGCGAAGGGTCAATAACAATGGGGCATAATTTTGAAGTGAAAGGCAGGTGGTTTAGAGGGGATTTGAGGAAAAGTATTTTCACCCAGAGGGTGATGGAGTCTGTAATGCACTACCTGGGAGGATAACTGAGGCAGGAAACCTCACAACCTTAAAATATTACTTGGATGAGCTCCTGAAATGTCATAACATTCAAGACTATAGGCCTAGTGCAGGAATGTTGGACTAGTGTAGGAATGTTGGACTAGTGTAGATGGTATCTATGGGCCAAAGGGCCTCTTCTGTACTGTATGATACTATAATCCTATGATTCTGCTAAGGCTGGTACATCTGGAAATGACAGATGTTTCTTCGGTAGGGGATTTATGGTTACACAAAAAAAGTGGGCAGTTAGGTTTTAGGTATAGATTAGAGGCAACTGGATGACAGAACAAGCTTGGAATACTGAATGGTCTTCTCTTTAAGCAACCCTCTGAGAACATGACCCATATTTCTGTGAGTTTTGCCATAGCAAGCATTGAATCAATCAAAGCTTCTTCCACTTCTTACTGTCCAATTTAAACAGATTAGTGATTAGCAGATTAAGGGCAATTCTTCCATCTATCCAGAAATGAGACATGGGGAGAAGCATCTGGTGAACAGGTATAGAGTGATGGTGTGGGGTCAGCACAGGATCATGAATTCTCATACATTTTCAATATTAATTTAAGAATGTTCAAACATACTTACTATTTCTCCTTTTAATCCTTTTAGACCCACAGGACCTGGTAAACCTGGTCGACCCTGAAAGACAAGGATATTTGAAAGTGTAACACTTGAAACTTTGCTAAAGGAAGTGAAAATGGGAAGCATCAAAGCACTGCCAATAGAATGCAGCCATCCAGTTTCAGTCCTCTCTTGTCTGCCTTCAGATATAAGTCCTGTCATAGGCAGGCTGGATCAGTATTATGCATTAACGTCAAGTCACTAACATGGGTGTTGAATGTCCAAACTCTAGAAATAACAATGCAGCCCTCAATGTTCTTTACCATTGTGGCAGACTCATGAATCTTTCATCATGACGGCTTTGCCCATGTACATACATCATATTTTCTTTTTTCAAACTAATCTGTTGATTATCAGTGCCAATGAAGGAATTTGTGTTATGTTCCGTGTCAGGCTGCACATTGGATATTGTCAGCATTTTTTGAGTCTCTGAGCCTTGAAGGCAAGGTACATGACTCATACAAGGCTGATCTCTAGTGCCTAAGGATGGAATGATCAAATTCAACCCATTGTTACAATCAAGTGTCTGAAGGGGAATTTCAGATCAGATATGAAACAGAGCTGAAAAGCTAAAGTTGGTATGGGGCAGAAATTCAAATTGTCACTAAGTTCTACCTTGCACAGTGCCAGGATGTGGGCATCGCTGGCAAGCCTGATGATATCACCTATCCTCAGGCACCCTAACTTCAATATCATCAATTGACTGGCTAGGTCGCTGGAGAGGTCACTCAGTCAGCTATATCAGTGTGGATCTTAAGTCACGTATAGACAATATTGGATCATGACAGGAAGCCCCTTTCCCTCATAGATTTAATTAAGCTGGTTACATTTTTACTGCAATTTAATGACCTTTCAGCTCCAGATTTTTTGAACTCAGTATATATACTTGAGTGAGGACGTCTTGTGGTGCAGTGGATAGCATCCCTACCTTAACACCAGAAGTTTCATCTATGAGTGTCACGCTAGGAATCGTTGGCCATGGAAGGGGTGTTCATAATGTGGCCAAGCGGGTTGTTCTGAGCCCTTCAATTCTTCCACTACACCTGATTGGAGGAAGTAAGAGTGGCAGAGTCTCCTTCTCAGCCATTCTGCAGAAAGCAATGGCAAAACCACTGCAGTACTTTGCCTATAAGTATGGATCAATCTAACGGAAGTACATGGCTTAACCCTTGGAAACAAGGACAGAAGAAAAGACAGATACACTAAAGTCACAGTCAACCTCATGTAAGATTCAATTTCTGAATTCTGTTTTTTTATCCCTCCATTTTTCAGATACCTTGGGCTAGTTTTAGGAATAGGGCTTGTGGATTCAATCTAGTGAGTCTTTTCCACAATCACTCCTTATTCATTTAACATCAAATTCCAGGCCCATAAATTCAGCACTACAGACAGCAATCGGTGTCAGCGTCATTGTTTGCTGTTCCAAGGACCCAGCATGGCTTTCCCTCTTGAAAGTATCAGCCTATTTTATGCCTAATATTTAGGTCTCAATACATCAAATTTTACACAATTCAATAAGATAATTTAGATTTTCTCACTGGCATATTGGGATCTGAACTCATATTCCCTGTAATACTGGTCCATTCATAACCATTAGATTCCCATAACAATCCTTTGAAAGGCAGTGGAGGGTAAGCTTCTGGGACAGCTGGATACTAAGGTGATAAGCTGCAATTGCACTGAATGGCAGGACGGGCTCAAGGGGCTGAATAGCCACTTGTTCCCAAAGCGGAATTATTGTAACTGCTCCTGAGAAACCCCTTAAATGGAAAGTTGAATGAGCTTACTTTCTTGCATCTGACTTAAAATCAATTCTGTATTGATTTTATGACATCACGTTACCACAAATTGAATGAGAAACGTTAGCTTCTTCTTCTCCATGTGCAGAATTGCCAGTTGCTTCACCAGGTATTAAAAAAACAAGCTTCACTCAAGAGTGACAAGTCAGTGATGGTTTCATCCGGTTATGAAGACTGCAGGGTAGCTACCAGAGTACTCATGGACCATTGGAAAAACATACCCATCCTTAATGCAGAAAGATGATGGAAAGGAATCTATTCTCAAAGTAAGTGGTGAAAATGTGGAACTTTCTCCCACAACGAATACATGAGGTAAGTTGCATAGGTACACTTAAGAGATAGCCTGAAAAAGACATGACGGAGAAAGGAATAGACAGATGGAATTAAGATCATGTGGTGAGGTAAAGTTTCATGTGGAGAATAAAACTGGCATGACATCCAGTTACAGTCACCACACATGAGGAAGGACCTAAGTGCCCTTGGGAGGTTGCTGAGGAGATTTATCAGAATGATTCCAGTGTTATAGGGACTTTAGCTATAAGGTTAGGTTGAAGATGCTAGGGAATTTGAGAGGAGAAAAGATAAAAATCAGCAAGATTATAACAGGTTTCGATCAGGGAGACAAGGGAAACAAATTCCCATTAGCTCATTGTACAAAGAGAAGAGGACATATTTAAGGTTTTAGGCCAGAGACATGGTGGGTGGCAGGAAGATGTAAGGATGACGGAGCAAATTACTGCCGCTGCCGGAATCTGTACTGAAAACAACAAATGCTGGAGATCACGGTGGATCAGGCAGCATCTAGACTCGAAACGTTAGCTTGCTCTCTCTCCATGGAAGCTGTGAGGATGAGTTTTTTCATACAGCCATTATAATGACCAGAAGCCATTTACCATGAAGATAGTGGAAGCAGAGACAACAAAAAAATTCCAAATAAATTTGGTGGTCACTTCAGGGAAATAAACTTGTAGGATTACAGATATAGAGCAGAGGATTAAGACCTACTGGACAGTTCCACAAAGCTGGCATCAACTTAATGGGTCAAATGTCCTTCTTTGGTACCATAATAACTATAATTCAGCTTCAGTCCAATGCCATTCATTTCATGTGAAGAATTGTTTTTAGTGGTTTAAATATAGTTAAACAATAGAAGATTGAGAGACAACCTTATTGCTATATACAAACTTCTTAGGGGTCTTGACAGGATAAATGTGGAGAGGTTGTTTCCCCTTATGCAACTGTCAAGGACCAGAGGGCATAATCTCAGAATAAGGGGTCATGGATTTAAGACAGGAATAAGAAGGATTTTATTCTTTCAGCGTATAGTAAATCTGTGGAATTCTTTACCACAGAGAGCTGTTAAGGTTGGGTCATTAAGTGTATTCACGGCTGAAATAGACAGATTTTTAATCAGTAAGAGAACCAAGAATTGTGGAAAAGGCAGAAAGGTGGGGTTGAGGATTATTAGATCAGCCGTGATCTCAACGAATGGGGGAGCAAATTCCTACTTCTACTCTTATGTCTTATGGTCTTATGGTGTTAAATACATCAGGTTTGTGCAACAATAGACAAAATTTATTCACCATTGTCCTTTCAGGTGTACAATGCTCTTGGGCTGATCTGTGACTCTCTGCCAAGAACCAATAGCCACACTGCAACATTAGGAATACAATGATAATCTGCTTGGGCAAGTGTTGACACAGTAATGTAGTTGACTCTCATTGCCCTCTGAAGTGGCCTAGCAAGGTACTCAACTGAATCAATCGCTTCAAAGTCTCAACCAAGAAATGAAACCAGATGGATTATCTGGTATTGGCCTAGGGACCAGAAAAGACAACACCAGAAACAGCCCTGTTGACCCTCAAAGTCCTCCTTATTAACATCTGAGGGCTAGTGCCAAAACTGGGTGAGCTGTCTCACGGACTATTCAAGCAAAGACCTGACATAGTACTCACAGAATCATACCTTACAAGCAATGTCCCAGACAATACCGTCACCATCCCTCAATATGTTCTGTGTAACTGGCAGGACAGAGCCAGCAGAGGTGGCAGCACAGTGGTATACAATCGGGAGGAAGTTGCCCTGGGAGTCCTGAACATTGGCTTTGGACCCCATGAAGTCTCATGGCTTCAGGTTAAATATGCGCAAAGAAACCTCCTGCTGGTTACCATGTACTGTACTCCCTTGTCTGATGAATCAGTACTCCTCCATGTTGAACAATGTTTGGAGTAGGCACTGAGGATGGAGCGGGCGTAACATATACATTGGGTGGCGTTATTTCAAGCAGCAGCACCACTGATTGAGCTGGCTGTGTCCTAATGGATTTAACTGCTAGATTAGGTCTGCAACAAGTCATGAGGGAACCAACAAGAGGGAAAAAGATACTTGACCTCATCCTTACCAAACTGCTGCAGCAGATGCATCTGTCCATGACAGTATCAATAAGAGTGACCATTGTACAGTCCTTCACATTCATGAAGTCCTGCCTTGATATTGAGACTACCCTCCAATTGTGTTGTGTGGCACTATCACTGTGCTAAATCGGCAGACCTTGAACAGATCTAACAACTCAAGTTTGGGCATCCATGAGGCGTTATGGCTATCAACAGCAACAGAACAGCACAATTTGCAACCTTATGACCTGGCTAATCCACCACTCAACCCTTACCATCAAGTCAGAGAATCAACCCTGGTTTAGTGGACAGTGCAGGAGGGCATGTCAGAAGCAACACCAGGCATACCTAAAAATAAGGTGTCAACCTGGTGAAGCTACCATACAGGACTACTTGCATGCCAAATAGTGTAAGCAACAACTGATAGACACAGTTAAGCTATCCCTCAACCAATGCATCATATATAAGCTTTGCAGTCCTATCGCATGCAGTTATCCACAAATATCTCCATCCTCAGTCATGGAATAGCCCAACACTTCAGTGCAAAAGATAAAGCTGAAGCACTCACAGTAATCTTCAGCCAGAAGTGCTGAGTGGATGATCCATCTTGGCCTCCTCCAGTGATCTCCAGCATCACAGATACCGGTCTTCAGCCAATTCGATCCAATCCACATGATATGAAGAAGCAGTTGGAGGCACTGGATAGTGCAAAAGTTATGGGCCCTGACAATATTCTGGAATAGTACTGAAGACTTGTGCTCCAAAACTTGACACTTTACTAGCCAAGCTGTTCCAGTACAGTTACCTGACAATGTGGAAAATTGCTCAGGTTTGTCCCCTACACAAAAAAAAAACAAGACAAATCCAACCCATCTAATTATTGTCAGATCAATCTATTCACGATCATCAGTAAACTGATGGAAGGTGTCATCAACAGTGTTAACAAGCAGCACTTGAACAGCAATAATCTGCTCACTGATACCCAGTTTGGGTCCCACCAGGGCCACTCATGACAGCAAGGTGCAGAGCTGAATGAACACAGCAGGCCAAGCAGCATCATCGGAGCAGAAAGGCTGACGTTTCGGGCCTAGACCCTTCATCAGAAATGGGGGAGGGGAAGGGGGTTCTGAAATAAATAGGGAGAGGGGGGAGGCGGATAGAAGATGGATAGAGGAGAGGACAGGTGGAGAGGAAACAGACAGGTCGAAGAGGCGGGGATGGAGCCAGTAAAGGTGAGTGTAGGTGGGGAGTTAGGGAGGGGACAGGTCAGTCCAGGGAGGACGGACAGGTCAAGGGGGCGGGATGAGGTTAGTAGGTAGGAGATGGGGGTGTGGCTTGAGGTGGGAGGAAGGGATAGGTGGGAGGAAGAACAGGTTAGGGAGGTGGCGACGAGCTGGACTGGTTTTGGGATGAGGTAGGAGGAGGGGAGATTTTGAAGCTTGTGAAATCCACATTGATACCATGGGCTGCAGGGTTCCCGAGCGGAATATGAGTTGCTGTTCTTGCAACCTTCGGGTGGCATCGTTGTGGCACTGCAGGAGGCCCAGGATGGACATGTTGTCTGAGGAATGGGAGGGGGAGTTGAAATGGTTCACGACTGGGAGGTGCAGTTGTTTATTGCGAACCGAGTGTAGGTGTTCTGCAAAGCGGTCCCCAAGCCTCCGCTTGGTTTCCCCGATGTAGAGGAGGCCACAATGGGTACAGCGGATGCAGTATACCGCATTGGCAGATGTGCAGGTGAACATCTGCTTGATGTGGAAAGTCTTCTTGGGGCCTGGGATGGGGGTGAGGGAGGAGGTATGGGGGCAGGTGTAGCACTTCCTGTGGTTGCAGGGAAAAGTGCCGGGTGTGGTGGAGCTGGAGGGGAGTGCGGAGCGGACAAGGGAGTCACGGAGAGAGTGGAAGGCAGATAAGGGTGTGGAGGGAAAAATGTCTTTGGTGGTGGGGTCGGATTGCAGATGGCGGAAGTGTCGGAGGATGATGCGTTGGATCCGGAGGTTGGTGGGGTGGTACGTGAGGACGAGGGGGATTCTTTTTTGGTTCTTATTGCGGGGACGGGGTGTGAGGGATAAGTTGCGGGAAATGTGGGAGACACGGTTGAGGGCGTTCTCGACCACTGAGGGGGGGGAAGTTGCGGTCCTTGAAAAACGAGGACAACTGAGATGTACGGGAGTGGAATGCCTCATCCTGGGAGCAGATGCAGCGCAGGTGAAGGAATTGGGAATAGGGGATGGCATTTTTGCAGGAAGGTGGGTGGGAGGAGGTGTATTCTAGGCAGCTGTGGGAGTCGGTGGGCTTGAAATGGACATCGGTTTCTAGGTGGTTGCCCGAGACGGAGACAGAGAGGTGCAGGAAGGAGAGAGAGGTATTAGAGATGGTCCAGGTGAACTTAAGGTTGGGGTGGAAGGTGTTGGTGAAGTGGATGAACTGTTCGAGCTCCTCGTGGGAGCACGAGGCGGCGCCGATACAGTCATCAATGTAACGGAGGAAAAGGTGGGGTGCTTGGCCCATGTGGGTACCTGTTCACCTGCACATCCGCCAATGTGTTATACTGCATCCGCTGTACCCGGTGTGGCCTCCTCTACATCAGGGAAACCAAGCGGAGGCTCGGGGACCGCTTTGTAGAACACCTACACTCGGTTCGCAATAAACAACTGCACCTCCCAGTCGCGAACCATTTCAACTCCCCCTCCCATTCCTCAGACGACATGTCCATCCTGGGCCTCCTGCAGTGCCACAACGATGCCACCCGAAGGTTGCAAGAACAGCAACTCATATTCCACTTGGGAACCCTGCAGCCCAATGGTATCAATGTGGATTTCACAAGCTTCAAAATCTCCCCTCCCCCTACCGCATCCCAAAACCAGTCCAGCTCGTCCCCGCCTCCCTAACTTGTTCTTCCTCCCACCTATCCCCTCCTCCCACCTCAAGCCGCACCCCCATCTCCTACCTACTAACCTCATCCCGCCCCCTTGACCTCCCTGGACTGACCTATCCCCTCCCTAACTCCCCACCTACACTCACCTTTACTGACTCCATCCCCGCCTCTTCGACCTGTCTGTTTCCTCTCCACCTGTCCTCTCCTCTATCCATCTTCTATCTGCCTCCCCCTCTCTCCCTATTTATTTCAGAACCCCCTTCCCTTCCCCCATTTCTGATGAAGGGTCTAGGCCCGAAACGTCAGCCTTTCTGCTCCTATGATGCTGCTTGGCCTGCTGTGTTCATCCAGCTCTGCACCTTGTTGTCTCGGATTCTCCAGCATCTGCAGTTCCTACTGTCTCCCACTCATGACAGCCTTGGTTCACACATGAACAAAAGAGCTGAATTCCAGAGGCGAGGTGAGAGCGACAGCCCTTGACATCATGGGCTGCATTCGACCAAGTGTAACGTCAAGGAATGCCAGCAAAATTGGAATCAATGGGTATCGGGAGGCAAGCTCTCAACTGGTTGGAATCATACCTGGTGTATAGGAAGATGGTTGTGGTTGTTGGAGGTCAGTCATCTCTTCCAGAGTTCCTCTGTGTAGAATCCTAGGCTCAGCCATCTTCAGCTGTTTCATCGATGACTTCCCTCCATCATAAGGTCAGAAGTAGGGATGTTTACCAAACTTTTCACAATGTTCAGCACCATTTGTGACTCCTCAGATACTGAAGCAGTCCAGGCTCAAATGCAGCAAGATCTGGACAATATCCTAGTTTTGGCTAATAAGTAGCAAATAACATTTGTGCCACATAAATGCCAGGCATTGACTATCTCCAATAACAGACAATCTAACAACTATTCCTTGACATTCAACGGTGTTACCATCATTGAATCCTCCACTATCAACATCCACGGGATTACCATTGACCATAAACTCAACTGGATTCATGATATAAACACAGTGGCTAAAACAGAAGGTCAGATACTGTGAATACTATGAGTACTGTAATTCACTCTCCAAAGCCTGTCCAACATCTACAAGGCATAAGTCAAGAGTGTGATGGAATAATCCCCACTTCTCTGGGTAGATGTAGCTCCAACAACACTGAAGAAGCTTGACACCATCCAGGACAAAGAAATCTGCTTGACTGGCATCACATTCATAAACATCCACTTCCTCCATCTGGTCTGGCCTACATGTGACTCCAGACACACTGCAATGTGGTTGTAGTTAACAGTGTTTTCTATCTACAAGATGAACTGCAGAAATTCACCAGAGATCCTTAAGACAGCACCTTCCAAACCAACGGCTACTTCCATCCAGAAGCACAAAGGCAGCAGATACATGGGAATACCTCTACCTGCAATTTCCTATCCAAGCCTCTCACCATCCTGACTTGGAAAGTTATCATCATTCCTTCACTGTTGCTGGGTCAAAATCCAGGAATTTTCTCCCTAAGGGCATTGTGGATCAGGCGACAGCATGTGGATGGCAGCGGTTCAACTCCACCTTCTCAAGGATAACTAGGGATGGCCAGCCGGCAACGTCCATATCCCATGAGTGAATAAAAAAGTGTAAAGTGGGATTGTAAACAAACTGCTCCATCCACTTGCAATGTGATGCAGAATCAAACAAAAAGAATTGCACAGAACAATCAGAAAGAAAACTTGATAGAAGTACCTCCAAACCTGGCTTTCCACTAAGTCCAGGAAGTCCTGGTTCTCCCATTTCACCCTTTGGAAAAGTGATTAAATTATCATTAGTTAATAATTGCAAAACAGTGAGTTTTGAAATTAGCAAGATAACTGAAAACAGATAGCTTCAAAGCTCCATTCTACCTTTAAACCAGGGTGGCCTTGCAGTCCTTTGTTTCCTTTCGGACCCTGTAAGAAGGTAATTACAAGTTGATATACATGAGATTTACCCATTTTAACACTAAATGAGAATGAGACTAAACCTGAACTCAGCAAGTCTGGCAGCATTCATGGCGACAGAAACAGAGTTAATGTTTTGAGAAACACTAGTTTTAAAACCTTTTGAAGCTCTTACTCGCTGACAGCATATTCACTTCTTGTTATCACTTTCATCAAAATTAACCTGCTGTATGTAAGCACCAGTTCTGAAGAAGAGTCATACTGGACTCAAAATGTTAACTCTATTTCTCTCTGCACACATGCTGCTGGACCTGCTGAGTTTTTCCAGCACTTTCTGTTGATATTTCAAATCTTCAGCATCCACAATACTTTATTTTTATCTATAGGAACTTTGCTCCTGTCTATATTTTCTGCACGGTGACATGAGTTCCAAACAATGGCATAAGACAACCTGAATCAGCTCTTCGATAAATATACCAAGCAGAACTATGATATCAAACATTTTTTTATGACAATAGTTTTATTTTGCTGAGTGCAAAAATGGTGCCAACAATAAATAATAGCAATGCTGCCTGTTGTTCATTACAAAAAAAAACGGGTAATTAGGGCACATAGTGAAAATCCACATAGAAGCACCATTATATGATCTGAAAGGACAAGGTGAATTCCCCACAGATTGAGAATTCATTCTGAGCCCTGCGGCTGTTCATTTGTCAGCAAGTGCCATGAGTTTCCCAGTGGAATTGGGAGGAGCTGCAGGGGGTGGAAAATCAGAGGCAAAATAGTCAACAGTATGACATTGATGGAGACTGAGAATAACCTGGCCATTTCCTCAACCGAAAATCTGTGTCACAAAGAGATTGTAGGCACCAATGAAACTTGATTGGAATTCACAATGAATCACCACTTAACTTAATCATTATAATAGTTGGTGGGGTGAATGTAGGATATTTTAGTGCCAAAAGGATGTCAAGATGGTGTCTTGAGCTGTAACAGCAATTTAGCCCACTTTTAGTTCAGGATTCTGTTTTAGTAAAGGAGACTGTGAATTCTTCCAAGTCCGAAGTGGTCTATCATGGATAAAAAAAAGCTAGCAATGTTCTAATTACTCTTAATTGAACTTCTCCCACACTTCTGCAAACATTTTCCTGTCTAGGTAGATGATTCATTCAACCATAGGAAAATACAAATTCATTCATACAGTCTCTTGATGTGAGGAGGAGTTTTGCTACAAAGTTCAGCCTACATGGAGTCTTTCAACAAGGGAGGTTAACCAGACATTTGGTAAACCACAGCTGGAGTATTGTGAACAGTTGTGGGCATCACATTAAAGGAACGATGTGGCTGCATTGGAAACTGCAGAAGCGATTTACAAGAATGATTCCAGGAATGAGAAATTTCCGTTATGAGAATAGATTAAAGAAATTGGGACTGTTCTTCTTGGAGAAAAGAAGACTGGGAGGATCCGAGACAACAAGGTGCAGGGCTGGATGAACACAGC